TATGTATGTATGTATGTGTGCGTGCATGTTTGCGTGTGTGTGTGTGTCTGCATGTGTGTCTGTCTGTATTCGCCCCGGACATTCACACATAATTTAACACTTAGATGCTGAGTTCATAAGGAAGAAACGTGTACACTTTCAGTTCTATAAGGGATCATTTTTGTAGTAATTCAGCTACTAAGTAACGTGTCTAGGAAACGATGGCACCCATCGCTGCTGCTTTTCGGCGCACTGCTATGAGCTGAGTGCGGGTCTTCGTCGAGCCTGGCTCACAAAAAAGCGGCTTCTGAAATGCGCTGAATTGCGGGCTGGCAGACTGGGCAGGATTTCAGAAGCCTTATCCTGTTTAGTTGCGCCTGGAGTTCTGCAGCAATAGTCCGCCCCCGGGGTTTCCCCACATTTGTGGCAAAACCGAACCGTATTCAAACCTAGCATGCGGAGGGAAATGACCGGATATGCCGGGTCTCGGAACAACGGAGCAGCATGAAGTGCACTCCACAGAAAACCAAAAGGCACTCCCCGAAGTTTCCACACCCTAAACCCTAAACCCTAAAGAACCCTAAACCCCTAAACCCTGGCCCGAAAGCCTAAACCCTAAACAACCCAAAACCCCTAAACCCTAAAGCCCTAAACCCTAAACCCTAAACAACCCAAAACCCCTAAACCCTAAAGCCCTAAACCCCTAAACCCCTAAAACCCTCGACACCCGAAGCTCCAAAACGACGCGTCTTGACCGCAGGCCCCCACTTGCCAAGCGAAAGCACTTGGACCGGCTCGAATTGCGGAACAAGTTTAGCGTTAAGGGATTAGAGGTTTAGGGTTTAGGGTTTAGAGGTTTAGGGTTTAGGGTTTAGAGGTTTTAGGGTTTAGGGCTTAGGGTTTAGGATTTAGAGGTTTAGGGTTTAGGGTTTAGGGTAATCAAACAGATACTTCGATCAATGTAAGCATATGTGCATATATAAACCTGTATCCCCAAACCACACAAAATAGTAGGTTATGACCCCTCAATTTTAAGTTATAACCCCTAAAACAGTAGGTTTTTGGATACCCATATATATATATATGCATATATATATATATGCATATATATATATATGTATATGCATATGTATATATATGTATGTGCATATATATGCATATGTATATATATATATATACATAAGTATATGTACATGTATATAAATATGTGTATATACATATATATATATGTACACAAAGATACGCACATTCTTTGTCTGGAGGCCAGGGTGCCTAATGTATGGGCCTTCATAATTGTAATTCAGTTTTTGGGGGTTCCTTATTATAGAGTTTAGGGTTTAGGGTTTTGGGATTAACCCCAAACCCTATTCTAACAATTAAGGCCCCTAAAATCTGGGCTGCTGAAGCTCCGTGTTCGAGAGAAAAGAAGAGACGTGTTTCCACCAGACCCGACATCCTCTCATTGAATCTTTCCTAAGTGTCGATTTCAACAGTCTCCCAAACTATAAATAGGTCTCCATATTAAACAATCAGGGAAATTAAACATTATCCAGAACCGGTACCTAGTTCCAGGATGCCAGGACATTCATTCTATTGGCGGTCTGCATGCAAGGATCTTGCTTGCCGCAACGCCCTCCATCATCACAGCTTGTCAGGCTCAGGGTGTACAAAGGGTAAGGAACACAGTATGATAGAGCCGGGCTTTATGTTGCAGCATGAGGGTGAGACATTTGACAATTTTCAAGGGCCATGCATGAAGCATCACTGAGCCGTCAGCTGCGATCACAGATGCCGCTCTTGACGACGCAGTGCTGCAGGGGGCAATCCTCCGTGGTGAAGAGACTGCCTTAGCTGCCCAGTACCCTGGCCCAAAAAAGCTTAAACTTCTCTTTTGGTAGGGGTTTACTATACCAAAAAAGTTCAAGCTTTTCTTTTAGTAGAGGTTTAATATACCAAAAAAATTTAAAGATATCTTTTAGTAGAGGTTTAATATACCAAAAAAGTTCAAAGTATACCTCTTGGGCTCCTAAGCTGCAAACGAGGCCCTCCACGCTGAAGCCCGCGAGGCGAACACGCTGGTTTGTGCAGCTGCAACCGTCAGGACAGGCTGGGCAGTCGAGAACATTCTCCTTATACTGTTCTTAATTGAAAACTGTCTTAAATTAAAATTAGACCTTATACTTCCCCAACAAGCCAGGGAACATAAAAGGCTAAAACTTTCAGATTGTTACTAAATATTATAAGAACACGGCTTACTAAAGGTTGGGTTATTGGAGAACGAAGTCTCGGGCGATGCAATCGTGATGGTGATTTGGCCCAAACCCTTACTGGGGCCCGGGACTTCCGATGCCCAGCGCGTGATCTTGGAAGAGGCCAGGTGCCTTTTTGCACTGGAGCGGATCCTGGGTTCTTTGGGTTTACGGTTTGGGGCTTAAGTCTTGTTAAGGAATTTAAAAGAACACTAAGGGGTTCTATAAGGGGTACCTATAGGGTTTAGGGTTTAGAGTTACCATAATGGGGATCTAGTGTAAATAATACGTAGGGTTTCCTTATTATAGTAACCTAAATTAAATCCCTTAGCAAGAACCCAGGATCAAGCGAGCAGGCTGCCCGTCCACGCTGACAGCCACACAACTTCCACAATAGTCCTCCTCCTCGTTGTGGTACAGGGAGACTACCATGGGATATTGCTGAGATGACACTGTGATATTGAGAGTGCAGGGCGTGGTGCAGTAGACGCCATCACTGAGCATTTTGTAGTCGTACTCGGAGGGATCGGAAGCTGTCCAAACACCGCTGTACCCCGCCAGCACAACCTTTCTGGCCAAGTTCCGCGGCGGGACGTTACCGCCCCAACTAGCCTCGGACTCGGTGGAATTGGCCTCGAGAGCGCCATCCAGCCGCCGGCTAGCGCCGCTCACATTGAGCAGCCAAAAGCCCTCACCTGATATTTCCTCAACATTCAAGTTTGTAGCTGTAAAGTCGAAGTTGTAGCAATGTTGATCAAAATCTGGCCAGTGTGGTGAGCGGCCGCAGTTCATATAGTCACAGCATTGCCCGCTGTCACAAGCTTTAAACCCCCGGCCGCAGCAAAGACCATAGAAGCAGTGCACTCGAAAGCCTCCTTGAACTCCACACCTAGGTCCCCCAGTAGCCGCTCAATAATAAGGGTACCCTTTTTCCTACTCTTTGGTTTTAATAAGGGAACCCAAAAAGAAAAAAGGGCAAAAGGGCACCAGTGGGGAACCTAGACACTCTCCCTCGCTACCCCAGAATGGGGATTCCATATATGACCGGCAAATGCTGGTCTCCCCGTTTGCTATCAGCGTGGATTGCTGGTCCTGGTCGCAGCCCATCAGGCTGAAGGCTGCAAGCGCAGCGGCTGTGAGAAGCACCTGGACTTTGAAGTAACCAGGGAGAAAAAGTATAGACTTTTATTTTATAGTGGTTCCTTTCAGGAACAGGTCCAACAAAAAAAGTATTCAAGTATGGTACTCTAAAACCCAGGCACTGGCATGCCCATGCAGCTGAGTTGGCGCCTCCTCAGCCCTGAAATGCGCAGAGTCATGGCCTGACCAATCAGTACTGCCATTTTTTACTGCCTAGTACGCTCTTAGCAGCTGAGTTCCTAAGCACCAAAAAAAGTGTCTACAATTGCAGTTCTATAAGGGATCATATTCTCACCAGAAAGGTTTAAAGTGTACGCATTCAGCTACTAAGATGCAGCTGCACTTCGGGCGTCGACGACCCCCAGGAGTGAGCGCCTACGGCAGCGCCCATGGGTCTGTGCTTGCATGGCAAGACACTGTCAAGAGCCCACGTGCATCCTTAAGGACGAAATGACCCTTAAAAGCAGGGGCCCTATACCCTTATACTATGAATTACTATATGGTATATGAACCTTAAATTCTTTTAGGGTTCATTTCGTCCTCAAGCATTGGATATAAGAACCAAGCAAAGAAGCTCCCTAGGCAGTCGCGGCGGCATACATAGTCCCGTGCAATCAGAGCAGGGTTCAGGGTTCAGGGTTTAGGTTTAGGGTTTACCCAGACCCCCGGGAGGATCCAAAAAGTAGATCCCTCAAGGGAGTTCCTATAAAGTACCCTTTAGTAGTTAGGGTCCCAAAAAAGGGGATCTACTTTCTAGATCCTCCCGGGGGTCTGGGTATATAGGGGTTTAGGTTTTGAACAGAATATGACAATGGCTCAGACTTCAGGGTCTTGGCGTTCAAGATTTACCACCCCAGCACGCAGTGCTGCACCTAGCTAAAAATAGAGGCACGCGTCTCCCAGCTAGTCAATACTGCCGAGCGCCAAGGAAAAAGGCCAAGATATGGTTCGGGGTTTAGGGCCCCAAAATGCACAAGTGGAGCCCGCGGAATTGTTCCCATGGATTGACAACACGCGCTTTCACAATCCATCCTTTGTATCAACAACCCGAAACACCAGTATCCACGTACCTACACTACCCAACTGTGGACAGTGCTTCTCCAAAACCCCATCTGTACATCGTGCAATTTTGGGGACCCAAAAAGGGACTCTAATTTAGAGAACACCCAAAAAATGATATAAAGGCTGCGGTATTTACTTCAATCCTGATATTCTGGGTTCCTGTTAAAGGATTGAATCTAAGTTACCATAATACGGAAACCATGTTATTATGGCAACTTAAGTTGAATTCTTTAATACGGTTGATGATATAAATCCTGCATCACCCATAATAAGGAGCATACCATAATTCCCATAGTTTAGGGTCCATAAGGTAATGCAGGATTTATACTATGCCGGGGGCTGTCAGAGATGCGGTCCCATGAAGGCCCCCGGAAGGTCTCCAGAAGTTGGGCCCGACGGTTGATGATGTAAATCCTGCAGTACCCAGAAGAAGGAAATAGGGTTTAGGGTTTAGGGTAGCTGACAGACCCTAAACTATGCGAATCACTGTATGGTATATATATATACATATATATATATATGTATATCCTTATTATGGGTAATGCAGGATTTATATCATCAACCCGAAGGCTAGAACTATTCCTACTGCTGCTTATGACGTTCATGATGAAGATGTCAACAATTCCTTGTTTTCTGTGCCTTTAAGCAACTGATTCCAAATGATGGGCTGCTTCCAAAAAAATCCGTAAACCCTAAACTCTAACCCAAAATGGTTAGAAATAGGTCTTTGGGAATATGATTTCATAGTTCTGTCAGGGGTCTAAACCCTAAACCCTAAACCAAAAGCCCTAAACCCAAAACCCCTCTGCAACCGTGCTGGGGGCTCCCAGCCTGTTGGGAATATATAAGGATCAGTATACCCCCTGGCTAAAGATTCCCTACTCTAGTAGACTCTACTGCTAGGTTGGGCATAAGATTCCAATTTCAATTTCAGGTTACACGCGTCTGCCGGCAATTAGGGTTGGGCTCTGTTGCAGACTGCTAGGCGCCGCCCATGACACGCCCGGCACCACGTCAGCACTTGACTATCTAAGGGCTTTGCTTGCCTATGGCTCTTGCTTCTATCATTGCTAGGAGATTGGATTAGGGGGATTCTGGGGGATGTAGACCCTCTCAAATAAGGTCCCTTTTAAGAGAACCAGATGCAGGGTTAAGAAGGGTCCCCTCTAAGGGGTCTCCCGAATCCTACTGTTGACTTGCTAATTCTTGAAATTGTTGACTCATCTGGGGCTGCACTGACCCATGACTCTAGACCCTTAGTGAATTGTGTGGCTTAGGGTCTTTGTAGACAGCCTCGAGTTTAGGGTTTGGGTTTTAGGGGTTTGGGGTTTAGGGCTTAGAGTTTAGAGTTTCCAGACGACTTCTGTGCTGCCACTTTGCGAATTCAGGGTCTAGGGTCTAGAAACTTCAGCACCTGATTAAGAAACCCTGACCCTGTGACGCCATGTTATTAGGATTCATATAAAGAACCCTAATAAATAATAATAAAGACCCAGGGTTTCTTTAATGAGGTTCCTACATCATCTGGGGTACGTCTAACCTCACTCACTACTAGCCCTGAACCTCGGAGGTGATTGCATGAGCCAATCACGACGTTTTTGCTAGCAGAGGCTCCTTCGGCTACCGCGGGAACTTGCATGACGGCGACAGTGTGTATGCATGCATGCATGTATGTAGGAATCTTTCTAAGTCTCACTTACACCCAGGCATACACAGCAAATTCTACAACCCCACTCCAGCGACCCGCATCACGAACATGTCTGGAAATGATTGCGCTCATCGCAGCTTTTTTCCGGCTCACAGCGACGAACTGAACGCAGGTCTGGGGCGAGCCTGGCCGCAGCAAACAGGAGGTTTCTCAGATGCGCAGAATTGCGGGCTTGCAGACTGCACGGCCCCTAAACCCTAAACCCTAAAGTGCCAGTCGTTTCCTTATCCAGTTCATTTGCGTTTGGAGCTCTGCCTGTGTGCAAAGCTCAGCCTCAGGACGCTGAAGCGAGCGCCAGGAGGCCACCAAACCCTAAACCCTAAAACCCTACACCCTAAACATACTGTCCCTCCGGGTTCCTGATTACAGTTGTTTTTGTCTAGTGACCCTGTTCTATCTTTTTTTTCCGGAGTTCGGCGCCGCAACGGAGCACGAAGAGGCAGACTGCCATCGTCGCCACCCGCGGCCTCTTTCCCTTAGATTCTATAACTTAGGGCTTTAGGGCTTGGGGCTTCAGGGTTTTAGGGTTTAGGGTTTTAGGGTTTTAGGGTTTTAGGGCTTTAGGGTTTTAGGGCTTCGGATTTTAAGGTAGGGTTTTAGGGCTTTAGGGTTTTAGGGTTTAGTGCTTCGGATTTAGGGTCTAGGAGAAGCCCTGAAACGCGCAACCCTGCATTGCAGCACCCTCAAAGGACCGCAACAAAACGCATCACCTCTATAAACTCCAAGCTTAAACCCTAAACTAAGCGTCGATTTCAACAGTCCCCAAAAAGTATTTATAATGAGGGCTCCAGAGTAAACAATCAGGGACATGAAAGCCCAAATCGATACCCAGAGAACCCAATACCCCTTAAATAAGGAATATACCTTAAACTATAGGAGCCCTAATAGTATGATTTAAGGTATATTCCTTAATTAAGGGGTATTGGGCACTCTGGATGCCTAGTAAAGGGCAGGAAAAAACTCCCAAGCGGCCTCCACTTGCCAATCGAAGGCACGGGGGCCTGCCTGAATTGCAGAACAGAGGGATAGTGCCTAAACCCTAAACCCTAAATAAACCCTAAACCCTAAATAAACCCTAAATCGAACCTAAACCGAAAATCAACCCTAAACCCTAAAGTGGGTTTTAAGGCCGGAATTGCAGAACAGCGGGTTTCCAAGGATCTCCAGTAGCCCAGGAAAAAAAAAGGGGCTACCTCTTTGGTGTTGGGTAGGGTTTCGGGTTTCGGGGTTAGGGTTTAGGGGTACCCATAGGCTCCTAGTTCCGTCTTGTGGTCTATATTTTTATATTCAGAATCCTACGAGGTAATCACAAATAAGGAACTACTACGGAGCCTATGGGTTGCTGTAGAAGGAAACTGAAAACACTAAAATGGAACCAGGGCCCACTGAGAGACCTGTGTTTTGCTTGTTGTTGAGCAGATAGTTTAATAAAGGCAAACATATATTATACAGATACGGTCAGATACGTATGTTCCTCTACTTATCTATTCGCCTGTTTATCCTTTCCAATAGTACGCGAACATCGAGCATATTCTAGTTGGTACAAACAAAGCAACTGTGTCAGCATGCACCACATCTAAGCCCTAAACCCAACACTCCAAACCCCAAGACAAAAACTCCAAAATCCAAACCAAAGCAGCTTGAACTACTGTTGATGATAGAAATCCTGCATTACCTGAAGGACCTTAGACTATGGGAATTATGGTACATTCCTTATTATGGGTAATGCAGGACTTATTTCATCAACCGTAAGATGCGCGCGCCTCAAACGGCTCGCGCCAGGAGCGGTCAAAGTGCAGGAGCCAGGAGCTTGGCAGATTGTGGTTCGTTTAGGGTTCCTTTTAAAGGGGTGTAGGGTTTAGTTTTTTTTTTAAGGCCTTTTGATGACTGCCAAGCAAAGGGTTGAGGGGTTTATGGGGTTTAGGGTTTGTGGTTCACAGTTTAGGCTTCCTTTTAAAGGGGTTTAGGCTTTGCGGTTAGCTCGGCTAGGAAGCAGTGCCGTAGAAAAGGTCACCTGCCCATAGATAGAATCCCAAAATATTAGAACATATTAGAACATACCAGGTATCAACAACGTAAGCGCTTGTCGTGCAAGTCTGCCAAGCAATCACCTACCACACCGCTATCCCAAGTTTCACAATCATTCCCAACACTTGACCAACGCAACCTGTCCAAGGATATCTCAATATGAATGATG